CTATCTTGCTTCCTTTTTCACTCAGAGAACAATTATATTTGCTGTCTTAACTTCACTGCCACTGGTCCTCTTCTCCCTCCTGCCAATTGGCTCCCTTCTTCACCATGTCACTAACTCTTCTTTGCAAAAGGAGACCTAGCGGTGATGAAGATCAACCCTTTCTCTTGTTAATTTAAGTGATTTTTATTGTGGCATTTCATTTTCTCTTCTCTCTCCCCTCCCCCCTTAATTGCCAACATGTCATAATTTTCCTTCTGGTGTCCTGGCACCACCGGCCTCCCCTGCATCTACTTGTTCTGTCAGCCATTGAAAGGGAGGTATTTCATAGAGTTTTGTTCTTGATTCTTTTTTATTTGTACTGTATTTTGTCTGCAAAGCTGACCTCTACCCAAACGGAATTATCCATGACCCACCACTATATACAAACATCACACACACACACACACACACACACACACACACACACACACACACACTGTTCTACCTGTATTATTTGGTTCTTTATTTTAGGTTAGTAGAGTCCAGGCACCCCATTAAAAAACCTGTGAATCATAATGTTTTTTCTGCCTTACTTTCACACATTCTGTAAATCATCACGATCTGTTAATTCTCTCAGCCTGCTCTCTTGTTTCTACCTCTCTCTCTAGCCCATGACCTTTGCCCTAGATTAGGCACTTATTGTTTCTCACCCGGTCTACTGTACTCCTCTGATAACTGATATCCCGATCTCTGCTCTGGTCAGTTGTCCTTTTACCTTTGATGCTACTGCCAGTTATTTCTCTAACTCATGTGTCTCAACATTTCAGTACCTGGTTGCCCACATCACTGACTCCTGGTCACCAGAGTGAGCACCGATGCCTTGCGTGGCACACATGCATCTTGCTGTCTGGTCTCTCTTGGTCTGTTTGGCCCAGCCTTTGCTGCCCTCACCCTTATATTTAAGGCTCCTGCAATATGAAAATTTTTATTTCCCTTAAAAGGTCATGCTGTGGAATGCCTCTATGCTTTTTAATCCTGTTCTTTTATTATCCCGAAATGTATTTTATTCTCACTTTACCCCTCAGTTAACCCACAGGCCAAATAAAATTATAGTTCTGTCAACTCTACCCTGTGAACCACCACACCTTCCCCAACAGAGTTCATAAATTTTTTCTCCTTAGCTTTTCCTCCCTTTGCATAGGTTTCTATTATTCTCCTGGCTGATTGTATCTTATTGTTTCTTCTGTCTCTCTCAGGGAGCACGAGCTGTGTGAGGGCAGGGTCTTAGGTTCATTTATCTTTGTGTCTCTAACACTTAGCAAACTGCTTGACACATTGTTAACTTAATAAATGCCAATTAAATAACATGTAATCGGACTAAGTATGGCTCCAGGTATGGCTTTTATAAGCGAAATTAAGAATCCAGATACTTTAATAGAGTCTTTGCTTCAAAAATGTGGTTTGATTACTTGGTGGAATTTAGTACTGACTGTGTTAGGCAGAAGTTGGAAAAAATGAAATGCCTGCCAACTTGGAATATTAAAAATCAAGTAATTAAAAGTTTTTCTGAAGCCAGACTTTAGTTATATTGCACTTTAAAAATACCTTGCCATTCCAGCTTTAGACGAAATTATAAGTTTTCAAAAGTTGCTTGTTTCAACTTCAATTATTTTCCCATAGATATAATATTACATATAGGGTTTCAGTATTTCCAGGGTGCAATCTGGAGCCAGAAGCCACACAATAATTGAACAGGGAAAATTTAATACAAACAATGTGGGATTGACTACATGAGTAAGGAAAATAAGGAACACAGGAGTAGCAGATAGGGGAACACAGCATCCAAGGAAGGAAGGAATCTGGAAGAGGGTCCCAGTCCCCCGTCCCCAAGGCTGGAATCAGACCTCACTGGAGAAGACGTGGTTGTGTCCTACTGGATGGCAGAGAAGTGCACAGAAGTGAACTTCGTGGAAATCTGCCTTCTGGGTGCTGGAGGGAAATGGTCCCCAGGGAGGTGCTGCCCTGCAGAACTCACTGGGAATCTGCCAATGGGGGTGGGATGGCGTGAAGCCACCACCAGAGGTCTGGAGAGAAGCTGTCCATGGGTGGGTGCCATGCACCTCCAAATAAGAAGAGAACCAGTTAGAAGAATCCTTCTGCCCTGGCCAGGTAGCTCAGTTGGTTAGAGCGTTATCCTGATATGCCAAGGTTGTGGGTTTGATCCCTGGTCAGGGCACATGCAATACTCAACCAATGAGTGCATAAATAAGTAGAATAACAAATCATGGTTTCTCTCTCCCTCTTTCTTTCTTCCCCCTCCCCCCCCTTCCTCTCTCTCTAAAATCAATACAGTAAAAATCAGCACCCTTTAAAATTATCCTGGCTGGCATAAGCAGGGTAGTGCTGAGAAGCTATAGATTGACAACTGGCACAGTTCACCTTCATTGACTACTTGAGCTTTCCTATGTTCCTAATTAAGATCTAGCTATCACAGGAATTAGGTAAGATATACTAGTATGCCATTTATCTTGCCATTCCAGCTTTAGACAAAATTACAAGTTTTCAAAAGTTGCTTGTTTCAACTTCAGTTATTTCCCCATAGATATAATATTACATATAGTGTTTAGTGCCCAATGACAGTAGTGCAATTAGATGAAGGTGACAAAGAAGGAGATGGATACCCTCTGTCTTCTGAAGTAGAAAATGGCCTTCTTTGACAAAATATATTGTTAAATATCTTAATTTCATGTGCCTTGATTTAGATCAGTGGCTCCCAACCTTTTTTTGCCCATGCCCCACCTAAGCATCTCTAAAATCCTGATGCTTCCCCCGGCCCGTGACATATAATTATTATTATTAAAAAAAAAAGTGAACTCCTATTCACTTAGAGGAAGCCTAAAAGGCCATTCATTTGGTCTAAACAAGCTTCCAAAGAACATGGCATCCATGAAAGAGAAAAATAAATGAACGAAAGGACATTTGAAATACTGAGGAAGAAATTACTAAGAAATTGTTAAAAATAATAATATGAAGTGATATGAAAAAATAGCAAATAAAGTTTCAAAACATAGAGAACTGGAATGCATAAGTATGTTACAATATATATTTATGTACTGTATATGAGGCCCCTAGAACCATAAGAAATCTGAAAAATTCACTGTTAATAACTCATTCTCGAATTGCCCCCCTTAAAAATCAAGTTGCCCCTGTGGGGCATGTGCCTCACTTTGGGAACCACTGATCTAGATATATTAAAAGTACTATTCTTATATCTGTCACTTAAGAATAAATTAGTTTTGACTTGGAAAATTAGAAAATAAGACAGAATCTTTCTTATAGTAAATAATTGAGCCACAGCTGAGAAAGAGAGAGAGGAAGCATTGCATGTATGTTATACATGTTTCCCTGGTTCAGTACATTAGTCAGTAAACCAAAATATTTGAGAATCAGGAATACTTTGTCTGTTGAGCAAAGATAGGAAGCAAGGACATTTTGTGTGAAAGAGGAAATATAAAGTGGTGGGGAAAGGTTTGGGGTCCAGTAGCTGAGCATGGCAGTCAGTGGGATGAGCCAGGCCACTTTGTATGGAACACATGTGCTGCTTGCCCACATGCAGGCAGACATGCTGGTAGTGTGGTCCACGTGATAGGGTCATAACCTGGGAGTGCCTCCATATTATGAGTCAGTTCTTAGGGTAAAAGTTGACATGAATTTTTGTTCCATAAGTTTAAGTACAGATATAACTTTTGGAGGCTGCATATAAACAGTCCTGTGGACTCTTCTGGGATAATTTGTTGTCATTATAGAAAGAAAAAAAGCAGGAATAAAGCATTTATATATGACCCCTAGAGGATGCTTAGGAATATTGATGACAGAATAGATGTTTAATAAATCATGACTGATACTTATTTATATTTGGGTCCTTAACTTAGAAGAAGGGAGAGATTGCCTGATGTCTCTGATATGATACTAGAGGCCTGGTACACAAAATTTGTTCATGGGGGCGGGGGTTCCCTCAGCCCAGCCTGCACCCTCTCCAATTTGGGACCCCTTGGGGGATGTCTGACTACCAGTTTAGGCCTGATCCCACAGGATCCCACATCTTGTCGTGGCCACCTTATGATGATGTGAGGGTGGCCATCTTGTGGCGGCCATCTTGTGATGACGTTGCACATCACGCCACCTAGGCTTTTATTATATAGGATGACTTTATTACTTACTAGAGGCCTGGTGCATGTAATTCATGCATGGGTAGGCTCCCCAGGCCAGGGTTGATCGGGGCCTTCCAGCTGCTGGCTGGGGCCTCCCTTCGTTTTGTACCGCCCCCCTGGTGGTCAGTGCACTTCATAGTTGAGGGATCGAACTCCCGGTCTCCCAGTCGAACTCCCAAGGAGACACTTTGCATATTAGGCTTTTATATATATAGATTGCCCATCTCTTCCTACCTATTTCATGAGCATCTCTTTTCTGTCATCCATTTTTCCTAGTTAGAAGAAATGTGTGACAAGTTGGAAGACTGGTGAGATCAGTGATGGGGTCGGGCGTACCCTCATGCCCAAATGTGAAGCATTCGTGATTGAGTTATACATGATGCATATTGACTTGGTTACTGGACTTACCGCACTATTGGCTTTCAGATCCTCGTTCTAACAATAGGGGACCTTATCTCTGCTGAAAAACTAGCCAGAACTCCCAAGTACAGTCATATCTCCAATTACTTTCTTAATCAACTCTTAAAGGATTCAGTTAGCAGAGAGGCCTCTGATTTACAGGTGGGGGGATAGCATGTAGATCAAGGTCATCTTACAGTTCCTCAACACTGGTTACTGTCTCTCCTAAATATTTCAACATTTTAGAGAGTAGATTTGGGGCCTCCATTATATCATTCATTATCATATATTAAAAAAACATTTGAATCACTGTGGAATGTTTGGTGTTAAGACTGGCTAGATTGCTACAAGCAGGTGTGTTAGTGTCTCTGCTTAGTTATAAACGGGTTTTTGTTCTTTATTTTTTTCCAGGTTTTTCTGAAGAGTGATCGAGTGGCCAGAATGGTTCAGAGTGGAGGATGTTCTGCTAATGACTTCAGAGAGGTGTTTAAGAAGAACATCGAGAAACGTGTGCGGAGTTTGCCAGAAATTGATGGCTTAAGCAAAGAGACAGTGCTGAGCTCATGGATAGCCAAATACGATGCCATTTACAGGGGTGAAGAGGACTTGTGTAAACAGCCAAGTAGGATGACCCTCAGTGCTGTGTCTGAACTTATTCTGAGCAAGGAACAGCTCTATGAAATGTTTCAGCAGATTCTGGGTATTAAGAAACTGGAGCACCAACTCCTTTATAATGCATGTCAGGTAAGTGGCCCATCGTATTTCCCATTACCCTGCCAGACTCAGAGTGAACCTCAAGTGTTTACAAGCCTATGGAGATGTCCTTTACTTTCTATTTAATCACTTTGGTTGAAAAGTTGAGTGAAATATAATTTCAATAAGTCAGATAGTGATATTTGTAAAGAAGGTTTTGAAAGAATTTGATAGAGGAAGAAGAACATCAGTACATTTTATCTAGTAAATAAATGTCCCCATGTGCCCTATTTTAGGGCATCAGATTTGTGCCTGTTTGGTATATAAGGGGCATGTCCAAATAGTAAAATAGAAATAATCTGTTATCTGAAGAAGGTTGGCAGTTTATAATAAATAGTTATTCCTCAGTGCAAAATAATTTTACATAAAGATAACGTAAAATTTTATGGAAGTAACTGAAATTTCAGGGTTTTTTTTAACCTAGTCAGATAGAAATTAATTGGAGATGAATCCTAAACTGCATAATTTAAAGTGATTACAGTGAATAATGTATTTTCTTTTCTGTTCTTATTCAAATCATACATATGTAAAAGCTCAATAAAATATCATGTTTTTTTCCAAGTCTTTCATCTTTAGACCCTGTGATTTGTCTAGTAATGTATTCCTTCTCTATTTGCATTTTATTTGCTTATTTTAGAGGTATAAATTATTTAACTCTGCCCTGATACACAATGTAAATGGACAAAGTTCTGGTATTTAAAAGTTCACCAGTTCATTAAGAGTTATACTTCTACATTGTTCATATGTTTACATTTATTTTTAATCTTTTGCAGATCTACTTCTCTTATTTTGACATTCTGTCCATTTACTTTGAATTACTAATTTGTGTATCATTTAAGATTAATAAATTAAAAGAGTTAATTAATACTAAAGCAATGTGGCACCTTAACCCTGTGAACAATAGTGATTCATGGTAATTGTTTCTAACTGTTATTAAACCCATTGGCAGTTTGATAATAGTGGAAGGTGACTGTAAAACCAAAATTTCCTACTTTAAAAGATAAATGCAACTGGGAGTTTGTATTTTTAATGAAACAATACAGTGGGGCCTTGACTTACCAGTTTAATTCGATCCGAGACAGAGCTCGTTAAAGAGCTCGTTAAGGAGCTCGTTAACTCACTCTATCAACTCAATGCAAAAAATGGGCCGAGAGACAGCTGGTATCTCAAAAAACTCGTTAGTCGGGACACTCGTAAGTCAAGGCCCCACTGTAGCTTAATTTACAGTTAAATATTGATTAACTTAATTTAGTAGTAAAATTCAGATTCAGTAGATATTTATTGGATATTTAATCAAGTCAGAAACCTTGCTAGGTGTTGGGGAAATCAAGCTGAGCAAGATAAAAATATTTATTCTCCATATGCCATAGTCTAATAGAGCTGATAGACCCAGAAAAGGAGTTATTACATATGCATGAAAGTTTATACTGGATGTTACAGGGTCATAAATATATGTGAACCTATGAGTTTGTTTATTAACTCAAGATATTTTAAAATTAATCCTTTGCTTGCTTTTAAGATCACTTCTAAAGCAATGGTGTGGATCCCCTGATTTATGTCCTCTATGACTTGGAACATATGTACTTATAATTCAAATTTTTATAACAACAAATTAATTTTTTAAAAATTCTATCAATATTTGCCTCATGTATTTTTATGCTCTGTTATGTTTGTACACATTTAGAATATGTCTTTTTGCGGAATTAATTCCTTTATTATTATATAAAGTCCCTCTTTTTTCCCCCTCTGAAATCTACTTTGTCTTATACTGAGATAGCTACTCCAGCTTTCTTTTGATTAGGATTAACATGTGGTGTCTTTCTCCATCTGTTTACTTTTAATCTATATGATTCCTTATGTTTAAAGCAGGTTTCTTGTAGAGCATATAATTGCATCTTGTTGTTTTTTTAATCCAACCTCACAATCTCTGCCTTCTATTGGCTGTGTTTAGACTATTCATATTTGAAATAGTTTACTCGGATTAAGTTGTACAGTCTTTGTGTTGTCACTTCCTTGCATTTGTTCTTTTTCTCCCCTCCTTTTTTTGCCTTCTCTACTTTTAATTGAACATTTTATGATTCCATTTTATATCCTCTTTTGATGTACTACTTATACTTTAAAAAAAAAACTTATTTAGTGGTTGCCCTAAGGTTTACAATATCCATTTTGAAATAATCTAAGTCTACCTTCAAATAACACAATAAGGTGTTAAGTGTAATGCTATCCCATAATAGAGAATTTCTAATTCCTTCTTCCCATCTCTTGTAACATTTCTGTTATTCATTTTGTTGATCATATGCTATAAAATTTTAGATCAATTAAGGAAAAAATAAGAAAAATAAAATATTATATTTTACCTTCATTTGTTCCTTCTCTGCTATTCCTTTTTTTCTTTATGTAGATTTAGTTTTTTACCTATATCAGTGTCTTTATCTCTGAAAAACTTCATTTAGTATTTCCTAAAAGGCAGAACTTCTGGTGATGAATTCCCTCAATTTTTGTTTGTCTGAGAAATACTTTGTTTCTCCTTCATGTTTAGAGAATATTTTCACTGGACATATAATTATCAGTTAGCTCTTTTTATCTTTCAACACTGAAGATTTCACTCCACTTTCTTCTTGTATGGTTTCTGATGAGAAGTCTGATATAGCTCTTCTTGGTTCTCTACAGATAAGGTGTTTTTGTCCTATGGCTTCCTTCAATATTTTATCGTCAATATTTTATCATCTTAGTTTTCTACCATTTAAATATGAATATGTGTAGGTATAGGTTTTCCTGTTATATTTCTCTTTCCTGGTGTGTTTTGTGATTCCTGGGTTGGTGTCTGTCATTAATTTTGGAAAGTTCTCAGATATTACTAGTTCAAATATTCCTTCTGTCCCATTCTCTCTTCTCCTTCGGGTATTATAGTTTTGATATTGTCCCATAGTTCTGGGATGTTCTGTTTTGTTTGTCTTGGAGCTTTTTCTCTTTGTATTTGAGAATGTTTTCAACTTTTTCCATTAGAGCCCTTAACATATTAATAATAGTTATTTAAATGTTTTGTTTGATAACTGTAACCTCTCTGTCACATCTAAATTTGGTTTGGACTCTTGTTTTTGCTCTCTACACTGTTTCTTTTTCCCTTTTGGCATGCTTTGTAATTTTTTATTGAAATCCAGACACGTTGTATCAGGTAACAAGAACTGAAATATATTTGGCTTTAGTGTGAGGATATTTGTTGATCTGACTGGGAGTTGGGCAGTGTTTAATGTTTGTTGTAGCCATAGGTACAAGAAGTTTCAAGTTCTCGTATCCTTGTCTTTGTCTTCCTCTTGACTTTGGGTTTCCTTAGGTATTCCCCCTCAGAGAGGGTCAGTGTCTTGCATCTTGTAGCTGTGATTGACTGTTACTGTCCTAGAGCTGTGTTGGTGTTGTGGCAGGTTGTTGGGGAATAGCGCGTATTCTATTACCTGAGGAAGCCTCACTCTTTTAGGGGGCCTACATCTTGGGTTGTAACCTTCACAAGGGTTTCTGTCCCTGGTCTACGAGTATTGCTTCCCTTTTCACCCATGTACTGTATTTCTTACCCTGGTTACAGCATCCCCAGCCTATTTTCTTGAGGTCTTTCCTCCTGTTCACTCTGGATTTTGTTTGTTCATTTGTTCTTTCCAATGGAAGTCGTAGAAAGGCTGCAAAGGACTACAGAGGCAGCCTTCTCTTCCTTCAGCTGAGAGAACTTGTCAGTGCTCCTTCTGGAAAAGCCTGCCCCCCTTTGTTAGGGAAAAGAATCCAGGGGGTTAATAATGGCTGTTCTTCCCCTCTTTCTGCCTGATCCACATGGGGACTTTTCTTGAATCCTTACCATGAGAACTTTATGGGGTTACTGTTCTCTAATAGCACTGATAGTGCATGTGTTGTTTTATTTAGTGCTAAATTCTCAATTTCAGCATTATTTCATTAGTAATGTGACTGTATATTCAGTTACTTTATTGGGGTGAGTATAGTTAGTAAATAATTGCTTGAAAATACGAGCTCATTCCTTTTGTCCAGAAGATAAACTGTTAATACCAAATGAAAATAACTAAAGAAAATTTCATGACGTGTAAAAATTTGCCAAATTATATCTACCATTTTAGAGAATATGCATGCATATTCTCCAGGCTGTTGAAGTTCCAGGGTTTTTATGTTTGAGGTTAAATTTTATATATTCTCGCTTTTGAACATTTGATCTATTATTTAATATAGTTTAGTTCAGTTCACATAGGGTAATTTTATATCTAATTAACTCATTTATCTTTTCCCTGCTTTTAAGTATTCAAAAGAAAGTGTGGTTTGGGAAATGCATTTTTAAGACTCAGTGAGAATCCAAGGCAGAACTGCTATTTCTGAGTTAGGTTTCTATTACATAATTTAGAAGGTAGATATACGGTAAAGGAGTTCTCTGAAAACTTTTCCTCCAGCAGACAGAATGCTACCTGGTTCACACATAACATCATATAGTCAATGTGCTCTTCTGAATAGAGGAATGACTTCATTTCCTCATGTTCTTTTCATTGTATGAAATTACAAAACAAGTTTTAGTTAGCTGGTGATTTTTGGCTAATTCTCGGTGATCAAGAAAAAGGGAGGAAGGGTTTTTTTGTTTTTGCTTTTTAAAGGAGATTGCCTTATGGAAGATGGGTCAGCATGGAGGTCCTTAGGGTTTAAGGACCTTTTAAATACAGGAATTATTCTTAGTATTTGTATTAAAATTGAGTCTAGTTATATGAGTCCCACCATTGGAGATGGATTTTATTAGAGAAGGGTGTACTAATAGAGGGCATACATTGCAGTTTGAGGTAAAGTCCTAAGTATCAGAGTTCAACAATAAAACAACTATGAAAGATATGTTATCAGATAGTACCTGCTTTGTTACTACATGATTGGTTAAGGAGTCTTTTCAGAAGATTTGGAGGTTGATCTGGGCAATGAAGGTATGTAAGAAGAGAGTCCCAGGCAGGAGAAACACA